ATTCTTAAAAATTGCACATTTATTGGGATAAATCGGTAGATGTATTGATGATAAGGTCAATTTTTTACGACGTGACGAGATTTCGGCGAGTCTACGGTGGGCAAAAAATGAGAAGCATAAAAATCAAAAATTATAAAATTGCAGTATTAAAAATTAAAAAAATTGCCTTCGTTTAGATTAAAATATTTTGTTTGAAAATCCGATATCAATTTTATTTATTTTGTTATTATTACAAGAACTAATAAAATAATTCGAAGTGGTCTGTATTCTGTCGAAACTGCCAGACGCGGATCGCAATTTCGATCTTTTTCATCAGCGCGATCCGCGTCTGGCAGTTTCGACACAATACAGACCACTTCGAATTATTTATTCGATTAAGCTAACGTGCCCATCAGGTTGAGGTTGGCTATGCCGGGATTCGTTTTCAGCAAGTAGATATCCACACAAGTGGACCTTGTTGGAGCATACGTAACCCTAAAATGTAGCATCGTGCCACAGATGGCGTTTACTGCGTCTTTTGCAGTATTTTCTAAAACGCACTGTTAAGACAGCAGATAAAAGTTGGTCTGTGTTCTGTCGGAGCTGCCTGCGACGCGCTGATAAGATCCAAAAAGATCAAAATGGCGATCCGCGTCTGGCAGTTTCGACAGAATACAGACCACTTCGATTTATTTTATTCGATTAAGTCAACGTGCCTATCAGGTTGAGGTTGGCTACGCCGGGATTCGTTTTCAGCAAGTAGATATCCACACAAGTGGACCTTGTTGGAGCATCCTAAAATGTAGCATCGTGCTACAGATGGCGTTTACTGCGCCATTTCTAGTATTTTCATTTACAAGAACTAGTTTTATTTTGTTCATGTGCCTTAAGTCAAAAATAGCTTTAATCTAATCGAATGTTTACCCTGATTTTTATAATCATTCAATTTGGTGATGACAATTCATGTTGCTATTAAGGCCAAAATCGCGCCTTTTTCGTGGACTATCCAGCGCTTTGACAATGTACAGGGACACACAAGCTTGTTTTGCAATGAATAAAGGGCAATAACTTAAACGACTAACGGTGTTCAAACAATGTAGAGTTAGTTGTTGCGTCGGATGTTATGAATAACGACAAAATAAATTTGCAGATTTGGTGACGATTCCAGACAAACTAAACGCTCGTATGTAGGTACGTAGCTACGTAACATTTACTACAGCTGCAATAATAATAATTCATTGTGATAAATCATTGAGCGTAACAAATGCAATTGTTATATTCACAGACAGCCGGATAATATACTGACAATGAGCTAAATATACGAATGCAGGTACAGCCGGTAGGGAAAAACTAAGTTAATTTATGTTTATCTACGCAATTTCGCAGCGTCATTTAAAACAAATTCAAATAGTACTTAGTCATTGAAAGATGGCATTAAATATTTACGACATGAGTTCTTGCAGTTAGTTATTAACTTTAGCGTCGTTTCAATACTATTTTTAATTTCGTATTAATTTCAATCTGTAATTACGCGAAGAAGGTTTAAGAAAGAAATTTTACATATACGTACAAAAGACACTCGATGGTGTGAACATCGCATAACGGTAACCTCGCATAATGTGAATATCGTTAACAAACCAACCTTCGCTTATAGAAACGAACGCCTAGCGGTTTTAAAAATCGATATTCTGTAACTGCTATATACATATACGTACAATAAACACTCGATGGTGTGAACAGACCATAACAGTAACCTTGCATTATGTGAACATCATTAACAAACCAACCTTCGCTTATAGAAACGAACGCCTAGCGGTTTTAAAAATCGATATTCTGTAACTGCTATATACATACACGTACAATAGACACCAGATGGTCTGAACATCGCATTACGGTAACCTCGCATAATGTGAACATCGTTAACAAACCAACCTTCGCTTATAGAAACGAATGCCTAGCCGATTTAAAAATCGATATTCCGTAACTGCTATAAATCCCTTATACATTTGGTACTTCTCCAATCGTACTAGCTTGGGAGATTTAAGAGCTTATTCGTGTATTAACCTTAGATATGTAGAGAACTGTCACTTGTAACATTTGGGTGAGTACAAGTAACTTTAGAGTTCTTTTTGAGGTGCGACATCCCAAAAAAGTCTGGAAAACTCACTAAAATTCAATGAAATTATACTTAACTACACCGATTACATGGAGACTTCAACGTTACGTCAAGTGAGCAACTCGCTTTTACGTTTGTCTTTATTTTGTTTTATGATTTGACTATCAGGCCCTGAAAAAAACCGAAACTTATCTTTAAGGCGGGCTCTGCTTGGTATTGCGCATCCGATGTCGTGACAGACTTANATTCGATTAAGCCAACGTGCCTATCAGGTTGAGGTTGGCTACGCCGGGATTCGTTTTCAGCAAGTAGATATCCACACAAGTGGACCTTGTTGGAGCATCCTAAAATGTAGCATCGTGCTACAGATGGCGTTTACTGCGCCATTTCTAGTATTTTCATTTACAAGAACTAGTTTTATTTTGTTCATGTGCCTTAAGTCAAAAATAGCTTTAATCTAATCGAATGTTTACCCTGATTTTTATAATCATTCAATTTGGTGATGACAATTCATGTTGCTATTAAGGCCAAAATCGCGCCTTTTTCGTGGACTATCCAGCGCTTTGACAATGTACAGGGACACACAAGCTTGTTTTGCAATGAATAAAGGGCAATAACTTAAACGACTAACGGTGTTCAAACAATGTAGAGTTAGTTGTTGCGTCGGATGTTATGAATAACGACAAAATAAATTTGCAGATTTGGTGACGATTCCAGACAAACTAAACGCTCGTATGTAGGTACGTAGCTACGTAACATTTACTACAGCTGCAATAATAATAATTCATTGTGATAAATCATTGAGCGTAACAAATGCAATTGTTATATTCACAGACAGCCGGATAATATACTGACAATGAGCTAAATATACGAATGCAGGTACAGCCGGTAGGGAAAAACTAAGTTAATTTATGTTTATCTACGCAATTTCGCAGCGTCATTTAAAACAAATTCAAATAGTACTTAGTCATTGAAAGATGGCATTAAATATTTACGACATGAGTTCTTGCAGTTAGTTATTAACTTTAGCGTCGTTTCAATACTATTTTTCATTTCGTATTAATTTCAATCTGTAATTACGCGAAGAAGGTTTAAGAAAGAAATTTTACATATACGTACAAAAGACACTCGATGGTGTGAACATCGCATAACGGTAACCTCGCATAATGTGAATATCGTTAACAAACCAACCTTCGCTTATAGAAACGAACGCCTAGCGGTTTTAAAAATCGATATTCTGTAACTGCTATATACATATACGTACAATAAACACTCGATGGTGTGAACAGACCATAACAGTAACCTTGCATTATGTGAACATCATTAACAAACCAACCTTCGCTTATAGAAACGAACGCCTAGCGGTTTTAAAAATCGATATTCTGTAACTGCTATATACATATACGTACAATAAACACTCGATGGTGTGAACAGACCATAACAGTAACCTTGCATTATGTGAACATCATTAACAAACCAACCTTCGCTTATAGAAACGAACGCCTAGCGGTTTTAAAAATCGATATTCTGTAACTGCTATATACATATACGTACAATAAACACTCGATGGTGTGAACAGACCATAACAGTAACCTTGCATTATGTGAACATCATTAACAAACCAACCTTCGCTTATAGAAACGAACGCCTAGCGGTTTTAAAAATCGATATTCTGTAACTGCTATATACATATACGTACAATAAACACTCGATGGTGTGAACAGACCATAACAGTAACCTTGCATTATGTGAACATCATTAACAAACCAACCTTCGCTTATAGAAACGAACGCCTAGCGGTTTTAAAAATCGATATTCTGTAACTGCTATATACATATACGTACAATAAACACTCGATGGTGTGAACAGACCATAACAGTAACCTTGCATTATGTGAACATCATTAACAAACCAACCTTCGCTTATAGAAACGAACGCCTAGCGGTTTTAAAAATCGATATTCTGTAACTGCTATATACATACACGTACAATAGACACCAGATGGTCTGAACATCGCATTACGGTAACCTCGCATAATGTGAACATCGTTAACAAACCAACCTTCGCTTATAGAAACGAATGCCTAGCCGATTTAAAAATCGATATTCCGTAACTGCTATAAATCCCTTATACATTTGGTACTTCTCCAATCGTACTAGCTTGGGAGATTTAAGAGCTTATTCGTGTATTAACCTTAGATATGTAGAGAACTGTCACTTGTAACATTTGGGTGAGTACAAGTAACTTTAGAGTTCTTTTTGAGGTGCGACATCCCAAAAAAGTCTGGAAAACTCACTAAAATTCAATGAAATTATACTTAACTACACCGATTACATGGAGACTTCAACGTTACGTCAAGTGAGCAACTCGCTTTTACGTTTGTCTTTATTTTCTTTTATGTAATTTATGCCATTTACTGGACAGACAGACATTTAAGTAAGTAACCTTATCATCCATTCTGAGGTGTGAAATCAAAAAAAGCCCAAGAAACTCACTAAAATTACTTGGAGACTTCAACGTTACGTCAAGCGAGTAACTCGCTTTTATGTTTGTCTTTGTTTTATGCAACTTATGAATCATGTACTGGACAGACCGACGTTTAGGAAGAACTAAACAATTATTATGTCGGAAAATCTACAATTTGCAAAATAAAACACAAAAGGAAACTAATATTTAACATTTCCCAGAATTGAAAATTCGTTAATGTGAACAGATAAATAACACCAATAAACTGCTCCTTTCCACACTATCCTCTGTCATCAATATTTATAATAATCACTTCTAATAAGAACATGCCATCACTTACCTTCAAAATATGTTTAACGTTTTCAGTTAAAAAAGGTCTAATAAAGGTTTTATTATCGCTATTATAAAATTAACTACATTATAACGATAATTTCAGAACTTCGCCAAACAGTGTCCTTTATCAAATAAATTTTACATCAATATTAGACAAATATGTAATATTATAATACTTATACAACGAAATAGTGTTTCAAAAGACTATCACTCCTTATTGGATGGTCCCACATGACAAGGATTACCAATAATTTGATCAGCAATTCTGCTCGCTTCTCTCAGTCCACTCAAGAAAGCTCCATGTACCGTAGCAGGATAATTTCTGATGGTATGTTCGCCTGCAAAGAAAAGTCTCGGAGTACCGGTGGTCACCGATTGTCCCTGCGCATTAGGAGGAATAACGGGAGACGCCAACAGGTCGTAATCGCTACCCGAACTCCCCACGGCAACAAAGCTGTAAGATCCTCGCGACCAAGGATCCGCCCTCCATCTTGTAACCACAGTCTCTTTGGGTTGAGGAACGCCCTGTTGTCCGAAAATTCCTCTCAGAACGGCAATGCACCTGTCAGTAAAGAAAAAAACAAAACGAACCACAGACCATTTAAACCCCGAAGATCAACAACACGCTGTTATTTACCGTCCGACGATTACATCATCAGTAACGTTTTCCATGATGGCCGCGGCATCACCGGCGACCAAAGCCAAAAGCACCGGTGCCTTGTAAAGATTCCAAAACAAAAAGAGTTCGCCTCTGCTTGCCGTCGTACTCCCCACATGCCCGAACAGATTCGCCTGCGGATTCCAAAAAATCCTCTCGAAACACAAAACGACCTTGTTAAGATTCCCGAAACCTAATCGTTGAATAGCGGACGTTTTCCAATCGGGAAGCGGAGGCACAAACTGGACCGTATTTAGCTGACCAGTGGATGGCGTTGTAGCCAATTTTAATACTCCCAAAGGCAGAGTGCAAAGAACCACGTCGGCTGAAATAAAAATAAACCAATTAAGAAGTATTGTACTACCATCATCCAAAAATAGAAAGCCCTATTCCTTCAGCCACTGGTGCAAGTAATTCCGTTAAGCATTCCAAGCCAATGAAAGATAGTGTGATGTATCAGTGTGATAAATGTAGAAAGGAAGCAGCACGAGACCACGAGAGAACTACAAAGCTACGATAGACAATCCCCAAGCCATAATACAGAAAATTTACCATGCAGTATATTTATAAGAAGCGTAACACGATATTGTTACATATATTTTTTAATTCCTGTTTAATCATAGCAACTAACACATTTTCGTAAAAAACAATGTAGGGCAGCTAGTATTATATTATACAAAAGTCAAAAAATACTTCGTGTAACAGACGACTATTTCTAACCCAATGCTGAACAATAGGTAATATTTCAAAATGATGCAAAAGGAATCCATGCTAACTTAGATTTACAGAAGATAATTTTTTCAGGAAGTAACATTGCGTACAACATTTTGCATCTATTAAGTATTTATGCACGCAACGTAAAAACGTTCATTAGGAGCGCAAAGAGGCCACGAACCTCATTCTTTACGCATGTACAGTTCGTTAACTTAGAGAAAGGTACACGATACCAGATCGACGTACGCGGACTGCCGCATAAATGTTCGCAGTCATTTGCAGCTAGGGCTGCCACCCGTACTTTATTATAAAGTATTGTACTCTATTTCGACTGTGCGTACGTTACACTTTACAAGACACATAAAGTACGCAAAAATACTTTATTTAAGGCCTTAAGTAAACATCGTAATTTTGTAAGCGATTATTCGAAATTCAGAGTATTTTTA